CCTCCCCCCCCCCCCCCCCCCCGCCAATAGCAATATTTAATTTTACTCAAATACATAGGTATCCCAATTTCTGTTGACTCCTTTGATGTCAATATATTCATATGCCAATTGCTGACTGATCTATGTTTCTCATTCCTACTCAACCATCTATACCTACACACCATAATAATAATGATAACTTTTATGATGCTTTTGCTGTCAAAACAGTTGAGAAGAGTGAAGTTTTTATGTTTTGCTTCACTTTAAAAATAAATGTCCATCCACAAACAGAAACACGTTGGGCTCATATTCTGTGTTACTCACAGTTTTTGGAGATCCAGTGGTAGCGTAGTACAGAAGTGAAGAATGCCTAATCAGAGAGAAGGATTAAGAGAGAGGTCTTATGATTTATTCCAGTATGAATGTAGGTACCTTATTTTTTTGAGTGACTATAAGTCTCATTGATTTCAGGGTCTATGCTTTGCTTCTCTAACACCATTATATCAGAATAATCATTCTAAATTATACTTCTTTGTCCTGAACTTGAAGCTTTGACTGTACCTTTCCGTTTAATTTCTGATGGTTTTGAAATGATAGTCAGTGACAGCAGGGCATAACCAATGATTGCCTTGATTTATATCAGCTCATTGTTCTACATTATCTGTATATGTGGTACTACTTTTGTAAAGTAATGAAAGACTCTATTTAAAATAGTTTTGTTACAGCACTACAGCAAGCTATTTTCTGGAGCTTCAAGTTTTGTAATGACAATGTGGACACTGCCTATTCAATTTGTACAGTCTTATTTGCTATATTGTAGGAATTGTCATTTGCTGCAATAGAATAACATTGTGTTGTGTGGTCGAACAAAACATCAAATTGTATGTCAGGTAAAATAGAGAGTAGCTACTAAAGTTAGATATTCCTCCCAAATATTAACAGAAAGCCAAGACAGGATAGTCCTTCCAGAGTTTGAATCATATCTCTGGTGTTTACTAGCTTCTAACCATGAGTAAATTATACATTCTTTTTTTGCCACATTTTCTTGTCTATGAGATGGAAATAGTAGTAGCATCTACCTCACAGAGTTGTTATGAGGTTTAGAAGAGTTAGTGTATTAGAAGATTGCCTGGTATTTGTGTTGTTATTGTTACTAGCCCTTTCTGAGCCTTAGTACAGTTTATGCTTCTGTTATAAAAGTTATAACATTACATATAAATGTTAATTTTTATGCCTTCTCTGTTGTTCTATTATGATGATGGTAGAGTGTGTTATTTACTTGCCTTATATATGTACCAGAATGTGCTGTGCAGAGTATGCACCTAGTAAATACAATTGAATGAATTTAAAAGTGAGATCTAATATGTAAAATACATATTATATTGTCTGCTTTTGAATAAAATCAACTTTTGTTGCAATTTGTTGCTGTTTGGCTTATTTGAAATTTTTTGTTTCAGAAATTGTTTTTCAGTAGATAAACTGAATAGCTGTTACAATAGTATGTCATTTAGTGTCTACTTCTTTCCTTCCTTCCTTCCATCTTTCTTTCCCTCCTTCCTTCCTTTGTGGTGGTGATGGAAACAGTGCCTCAGTGTGTCTGGAGAATAAATGTGGATATCCCAGAAGAAGCTAATCAGACTCTTTCATTCAGTGCTGCTGAAAGATGGTGGGAACAGACGGATTTAACCAAACTAATCATATCAAACAATAAACTTCAGTCACTTACAGAGGACCTCCGACTCCTGCCTGCACTAACTGTTCTTGATGTAAGTTGACCGACTATAAATATGGGTTATTAGTTGAACAGATTCCAAAACTAAATTCAGGTTTTTTAAGCAGAAAAACTTTTATGTTGAGTTGGTAGAATACAAGAACAAATAACACATCATTATGTTAGGCACAGAATAATGGTTAAGAGTATAGAGTCAGAATACCATGTTTCTAATTTTGACTGCCAAAGAAGAGTTACCTCTTTATGCCTTAGTCTTCACATCTATAATCCTAAACTGATACTACTTATTTTAAAAAATTTCTCTTAGAATTAAATTACTTAATGGTAACAGACAGAATTAGTATTTAACAAGTGGTTGCTTCTGCTCATCTTTTTTCTTATTGTTGTTATTTTTATCATCATTATTTTAGACATTAAAGCATGTACTTAGGGTAGTTTTTTGTTTGTTTTTTTGAAACTTGGCTTCAACCTTATTGACTTTATTGAATATATATATATATTTTTTTTTAATTCAGGGACTTTCCTTTTAGTCTCTAGTTGCTATGTCATGTGGTAAAGTAAAGCATGAGTAGTTTATTTCAGAATCTACAGACTTTTGGCATGCTTTACTTAGTTACATCAAAAATCCTCCAATAATGTGTGAAAAAGTTGGATCTAAACAGTCAAATTTCTGAAGAAGTTTTTATTTACTGTTTTGTAAAACGAATGGATTGGCCTACTCTAAGTTTCCTTCTACCTTAAAAACAATGATTCTGTAAGAGAATGAAAGAAGTCTCCCTCTCCCTTGTCATATCATTTCTGTATAATTATAAAATTAAGAATATTGACTTTGTCTTTTAATAACTTTTAGATACATGATAATCAGCTGACATCTCTTCCTTCAGCTATAAGAGAACTAGAAAATCTTCAGAAACTTAATGTCAGGTAAAATTTAAGCTTATTTATTTCTAATATTGCTATTATAATGGTGTAAATCTAATATTCTTTAATTTTTTTCTGACCTTAGAAAATATCTTTGTATTACTCAGAAATAGGATAAAGCAGAATAAGAATTTTAAGTTTTAATTGTTAGATTATTTGTTTTTCCTTTTAGTTTTAGAATTTCCTATATATTTTCTGATTTTATGAATTTAAGGCTAGTTGGGGTTTTTTAATGCTTTTTGTTTTATTTTTACAAAACAATTTTTAGTGGTTCTTATTTTAGAAAAACTTTTAACATCTCAAGTTTTAAGGTAGTTTGATATTCTGAAAAATATCTAGGTGTTAAACAATAAGGAAGAAATATAAAATAGTTCTTTCATTAATGATGAACAATTTTATGGTTTTTAATATTAGTAGTTCTTAAAATTTTTCAATGACTCCTGGGTTTTCATGATTATGTTTCTAGTACTATCATGGATAGGAACATGGGAGGCTAGGCAGCTACAGCTCTAGCTAACTCTGTTTTCTCCCCGATATACATCCAGACTCTTAAGAAAGAATAATTTTGCATTATCTGAGTTATACAGACACTGATTAGAGGAAAGGAGATTAGGAGAGATTTCATGTAGGAAGAGAAACATAGGTTTAAGTACTATAAGGACAGCTTTAAAAAACTGTGGCTTATAAAATAGATAAGGTCACAGATCTATCTAACATATATAGTCAAGTCGTTATCTGAGTCATACAGACACTGATTAGAGGAAAGGAGATTAGGAGAGATTTCATGTAGGAAGAGAAACATAGGTTTAAGTACTATAAGGACAGCTTAAAAAAACTGTGGCTTATAAAATAGATAAGGTCACAGATCTATCTAACATATATAGTCAAGTCTTGTTTCTGGAGGTAAGTTAGCTGGTTTGAGAGAAAACAGTCCCTCAAATAAGAGTCCTCATTTAGTGACAAACTTAAAATTACCATAAATCGGTAAAAATATCTATACATACAAAGGTGTTAATTGTTTAGAACTACATCAGAGCCTCTTACTCTTAGAAGAGGAAGGCATAGATCTGGCCTGCATAGATCTGGCCTGCAAAGACAAGAGTGGGGAGAGCTGAGAGGAAGGAGAGAGGAAGTTAAGTATGAATTGGGTGGGGCTTGAGCTTTAGATTCCAAAACTTAAGAGTATGAATCTTAGGATGGAGCAATCAGGTAAGGAAAGGAGATGGAGGGAATATATAGCTAAAAGTACATCTCTGCCCAACTAGATTCCTATCAAATATACAAAGATTTTAGCTAAGTAACCAACAATAGTAACTACTTTTTAGCAACTTTTTTGGTTGTTATTTTAGAAGAAATCGTTTTGTTCAAACTAATTTTATTTTAATGTAACTCTAGGTTATTATAAGCCCCTTTATTCATTTTTTCCTGTTATTTGTGAAGATAACTTTATGTGGCCATTACTCTATTAAAGTAGAGTACAATTCATAAGTGAATAGTTAAGTTGTAATAAACCTGGGGACTGTTTCAGTCATCTCTTAATCATCAGGGATTATATCATCTTCAGTGATTTGGAACTTCTCCTAAACCAGTAAGCTGAATATCTCTACAGAAGGGCTAAACTGAAAACTTAGGACCAAGTACAAAGTAGGGTGGAATTGCATTTTACATTCAACTTGATATGCCAGGCGCTCAAACAGAAATGGCTATTTTTTGCTAAATTTAAAACCTAATTTCCGTATAAGATGTAATTCACTGTAGTGTGTGTGTGCACATATTTTTGTTAAAATTCTGAAAGTCAAATATGGTATAAAAAATTAAGAGTCCAGTATGTTCTTTACATGATGTGTAAAATCAAGCAATCAAAGTTCACAAATTATTTGTGTTTGATTAAAAACCTTTATTTCTTTGTTATTTTTCTTTGAAACTCCAATTTGTTTACTTTAGATTACTGTTACTTTAATGAGTGTAAACTTTGGGGATGTGAATTTTGATAAGTACTTAAATTTAGTAACCATATTTCATTTTTGTAATGAATCTATGTAGTTGGTTAGCAAAAATGCCTTTGATAAATATTGTGTTGTTATCAAATTATTAAGCATTTATTTTATCAATCAATAGCCATAACAAACTGAAAATACTCCCTGAAGAAATTACAAATCTAAGAAACCTGAAGGGCCTTTATCTCCAGCATAATGAACTAACTTGCATACCAGAGGGATTTGAACGACTTTCCAATTTAGAAGATTTAGTAAGTTGTACTTTTCTGATTTTTGTATAATTTGGGGCTGATGGGATTGTTCCTCAGGCTAAGAAATTAGATATATGATTGAAATTATGGGAACATGGACAGCTGATTTTGTGAGTAGATTATCAGAAACTGTGTGCATTTCAATTAGATTGCTAAATTACTAATCACAAATTTGTTTTTCCTTCTACAAAATCAACTTTTAAGTTTTAATTTAGGAACCGAGTTTGGGAAAGGGGCAGTGAGGATGACTTTGCAATCAGAGGCTTCTGCAGCTTAGCAAAATAGAAAGAAGTTGTCTCTAGCACATACAAATTCTCTTTTCTATACCCATTCCCATTTCTTCCTTTATATTACCTATGGCCCTCCTGCCCTCTGAGTGTCCAGATAATCCCTTTGGGGCCCACCTTTTCTTCCCTATTTTTCAAAATTGCCATATTTGCTGGCAAAATTTTTATTCCCTTTGTTTCACTTATCTAACATACAGATAACCATAAAGCAATGCCATTTTTTTTTTTTTTTTTGCAGCTGTCCAGTTTGGGGAATCAAACCCTTGACCTTGGTATTACTTTTCACTTATCTAACATACAGATAACCATAAAGCAATGCCATTTTTTTTTTTTTTTTGCAGCTGTCCAGTTTGGGGAATCAAACCCTTGACCTTGGTATTACTAAGGCCTTGCTCTAACCAAGTGTAATATAAACATTTTAATCATATTGTTAAGAATAATAAAAACAGTGGCACTTTGCTTTGTACTTTACATATGGCAAAGTAGATAGTTTTATCCCCTAACACAGTAAGAAGCTAAGGCTTATAAAAAGAGGAAATTTATCAAAGGTCACTCTACTAATAAGTAACAAAATCAGGATTTGAATATAAGACAATTTGACTCCTAAGAGCATCTTTTTTTTCCACTTTACCACCAAAGAAATAAAATTCACCTGTAAAATACCATCTGGAAGACTTTAGCTATATTCGATCAGAGCTTTCTAATATATAATATATAATATCTACTCCACAAAGTTATTTCATATTACATTCTTGTTTTTTCCTCTTTTACATGAGAAAAAACTTTGCAAAACTTATGTCATTTTAACCTTAAATTTTATTTATCATTAAAGAAAAATTACTCCATATACAATTCTGTTTTTTTCTGTATGTACATCTGTTTGTCATCTGCTGTAGTGTTTGAAATCAAAACATATATACGTCTTAACTATTCCTTTAGTGTCTCTTTGTCTTTCAGTCTGATCAGACTGGAAATAAGGTTTGGAAAATAAAAGGCATGGTAGATAAAATGAATGGCAGTGGAAGGCGCCATCAGATTTTCTTATAAAAATGGGTGGTAAAAAAGCAATTGATTCAAAAAAAAGAAAGTGTCCATTAGAGTTGAAAGATGAAAGGAAATCTTATAATAAATGAAATTTCCAGTTTCTCCCTTATGGGTTCCCAAAGAGTCATTTGCATAATGAGAGTACTTCATTTGAGAATTGTGTTCTTAAGGACTTAGTATCAGATAGGTCATAAATGTAGGCAGCAATATATTAGAACGGATCAAAAGCATAATCACGTGTAATCATTTAAAATAGTAATATTTCTTAAAGTTATATAAAAACTGCTTAGCATAATAGTACTAAATAAATATTTGTTGAAGGAATGACTTGGCATAAATATAGATTAATTTACATACAGTATACTTATGTTTTACATCTAACTTAATTATTAACTGCAATAATTAAGTATTTAACTTTATTAGTAGTTCTGTTGATTAGAGGGGAGTTTCTTAGAATGACTGGGTTCTTTAAAATGCTTTGAGAATTTCTGAATTAGTTTCTTTTCCAGTAACTTTTTAAGCTTTTTATTTTGGAATAATTTTAGATTTATGGAAAAGTTGTAAGTATAGTAAAGAGAGTTCCCATATATCCTTCACCCAGGTTCCCCTTATGTTACTATTTCATATAACCATGGGACATTTGCAAAAAATCAGAAATTCACATTGGTACAATGCTAGTAACTAAACTGGATTTTATACAGATTTCCCCAGTTTTTCTACTCTTGTCCTTTTTTTGTTCTAGGATCAAATCCAGGATATGACATTGCATTTATTCTCAGCAACTTTTGATATCACAAAACATTTATTTATTAGCAGTCTCTTGATTCTTAGCATTTGTAGTATTGGAGTTGTAAATTATGTTATGTTGTGCATTACAGACAATATTGTGATAATATTGTTGTAATAATGGTATGTTTTTTTAAAAATGAGCTGATCCAGCATTTTTATCTTCTTTTTATCTTCTGTATTTATTCAGAGTTATAGAATGCAATTGTTTAATGTTGGACTAAATGAAAGCTTTCAGAATACAGTTCCTTTAAGTCATTTTTTTTCTTATTTTTTGTTGCCCTGGGCTCTTCCTACACTTTGTAGAGAAGTTTACACCTAATTCAAGTGTTAAAAGAATTACCTTGTGCTCAAACAACTTTAAAAAAGAAAAAAAAAAAAAGAATTGATTCATAACATTGTCTTTTTTTTATTTTTATTTTATAATATTTTTAGTATCCACAACAGGTATGAAATGTAACATTGTCTTTCAAAGGGAGTTTCAAAAAAAAGTCCTCTCATAACTTTAAAGAAAAAACAGAAGCATAAAGATTTTAAGAAACATCGAGGTATAGAGATTAATTATGAAAGCTTGAATGAGTTAAAAGTAGAGAGTAGACTTGTGGTCTTAGTCAAAGCAGACTTGCTGAGGTCAGCAGAAGAACAAAGAGAGAATATTTTTTCCTCAAAAATTCAAATGACCATTTTATTAGCTTTATTTTTCTTTCAGGAATTTTTCTTTCTTACAAAGATGGTTTTCACTTTATAGTATGATTTACCAATAATATGCCTAATTCATCATAGGTACTCAATAAATATTAGATGAACAAATGGATTTATGCATTGAAAACATTATGCATGATATAGCATGACTTTTAACAGAAACCTTTTTGTAAAATTTTTTTTTTTTAAAGATGATGGGTAAGGGGATCTTAACCCTTGACTTGGTGTTGTCAGCACCACACTCTCCCAAGTGAGCCAACCGGCCATCCCCATACAGGGATCTGAACCCATGGCCTTGGTGTCATCAGCACCATACTCTCCCAAGTGAGCCACAGGTCGGCCTCGTAAAATGTTTTTGAAGTCAGAATTCATTCTGATTCTTGTCTACCGCATTGATGAACACAGATGGCTTGCAGATCTTGAAAAAGAATGTTAAAATGAATGATAATCTGTGAAATTGTCAGTGAATGAGGGTTACAAAACTCACCTCTGAAGTAGTTTCTTTTATGTTGTAGTTCCCTCAAAATTCTGAAATCCCTTCAGGGATCTTTTTTTCATTTTTTTAAATTTATTCATTCATTCATTCTTTCTTTTTCTTTTTAAAGGATCTTTCGAACAATCGTCTTACAACTGTTCCTGCTAGTTTTTCTTCTCTATCCAGTCTGGTGCGACTCAATCTTTCCAGTAATCAGCTGAAGAGTTTGCCAGGAGAAATAAATAGAATGAAAAGTAAATCTTCTTTATTTTAAAAAAATACATAAATTTGAAGTTGATGCAACTTTGCATTTAGAAAAATAATTTTTAACACAGCAGCAGACAAAGTAGTACATTTTTATGGTGGTAAATGCAAACAATAGCAATTAGTCAGATTTTCTCCAGACTATTATTGTCTAGCAACTGCCTAAAGAAGTACTATCAAAAAGATACTTAGACATATCGAAAGGAGGAAAAGAAAATATGATTATGAATTGTAGTAAAATTATATTCCTGAGAAATTAAGGTTTTGAGCTGTGCTGTTAAGAGGTTATTCCCCTTTCATACAACAGAGGTTATTCCCCTTTCATACGTGAATCCACCTGTGACATGTAGTTATATTATAGCTGTAGCCTCCTCGTGGTCTGTAAGTAATAATATCAAGAGATAGTCTTTTTGTTTGTTGTTTTGGCAGCTCTCTGGCACAGAGATCGAACCCTGGACTTTGGTGTTATCAGCACCATGCTCTAACCAGCTGAGCTAACCAGCCAGCCCCACAAGATAATCCTGTTTTGCCAGAGGGCCCAGGTCGTCAATCCTTTTTTTTAAAAAAAATGCCAAAGTTTAGTGGTTCTATTGAAGTTAACTGTTGAACTATCATATTTAAAGTACTGTAGAACTAATATTAAGGGCTAAAAAAATTAAGGTACATTTGAGCACTTTTTAAATAAGTGTACTTCATCATCTTAGAATACTTAGAGTACAAAATCATTATAGTGATATTTTTGTTTAAAGGCAAACTATTTCTATAAGCTCAACTTTTTCTAAAATTAAAATTTTTAAAAATTTAATTAATTAATTTACGTATATTTATTTATTTATTT